CTTGGCGTGGGGTTCGAGGCCGGCATAATTGCCTCGAAAGAAAAATTGTTATTTAAGAGGGAGAACAGTGTCATTTGGTACGGTTTAGAACTATGATTCAGCTATTCAAAATTATCATTTCAAGAGGGGACCATTGATCTTTTTTACAGAAATCGAAGAGGGTATCAGGAACCCCTTGACCCCCCCCCTCTTAATCCGCCACTGGTAAGAGTGGGTTGAATTGATTATCTAATTTTTGAAGACCTGGGGTGTGGCACATTCGGTCAAGTAAGCCAGCTCTATTCCTTATCTTTGATAGACACATTTTAAAAATTCAAAAATGCACATAATGTGCATAATGTTCTATACAGCAAAGTATGTAAAAAGAAATTTTCCTGGACATTTTCTTTTATCATCGATATGTACACTCTCCACAACAGTAGATAAAAATTACGATCTGTCTCGCCATTTTCATATCTCATAGGGAAGAAAGTCACCAGTCACGAAAATGACGGCCAAATTAGAAACTTAATCAACAAGACGAGATTGCAGACCGCAAACGTAGATATTTCCTGATGGCCGAGGGAAATGTTTTGACATTTCCGAGAAAATTAGCTTTTCTACTTAAAGGTATTATACCCAGTGCGTGACTTTACATATATAAATCTTGTGGCTTAAAGCACCCTAAACGGGCACTTACCTGCGCCGTGAAGCACACTTTGTAAAGTTACAGTGGAGAATAGCACTCTGAGGAGATAACCGGTCATGGCGGTGGCAAGTTATGTCGACAAGGTCAAAACAGAAGCTGAAAAGAGATACAAGTACCCTGTATATTCATGTTTATTATCATTTCATTAAATAGGATTGTTGTACGCGGTTAACACAGGGAATGGTATCGAAATTTTCTGAGGTGGTAGAGTTTAAACAACTGGCCCACGGACTGGCAGTGATTGGCAAAGAGGCTCGAAAAATATCACAAAGCCATGTCGTCTGTGAAATACCCTATTGATTCAAAACATGGGATAGAGTCAGTAATAGATTTACTGTTATGTTCGGGGAACAAAGGATAAAACTTTAACCTTTGCTGCCTCATGTGATGCTATTAAGTGATCATGATTTATACTCTGTCAATGTTTAACTTAAGTAGATAATAGTCTGCGTTTAAGGAGAATTACCGCAATAACGGACACCGGTGACAAATATAGTAATAGTCGCTGGTTGCTTCATAACTTGTGACAGCGACGTGATTTTTCACGATTGATGACATACGTTCTCTAGATTCCCTTTAAACAAACTTCATTTTAAAAGATATCTTTAAGGAAGTAGGTCTAAATAAAGACTGTTTAAGACTTTGCATTGATTTTTAGACTCAGTTTGCCCTATCATCTTATCTGATAAATTGCAAAACAAACATTGTTGTGTCTGTGGATTTTCTGTCATACCTACGCGCTTGCTTGAGCGCAGATGAGCGGGTGTGCGTGCGTGCAAGAATATATATCTACGTGCATAGCTAAGTGTGGCTTAAGGAGTAGGCTCACGTGTATTTTTCCTTTATATATACATACACATACCGGTATATACAACCTGTATCTTCTTATTATATATATATATATATATATATATATATATATATATATATATATATATATATTACTAAACCTCCAAGTGAGAAGTTTGAGTAGTTGTCTGATGCACACTAAAACTCGCTACTCTCTGACCACGGAGTTGCCCTAGCCTTTTATAAAATAATTGTATCGCCTATACTTAAATTTTGTATATTAATTTAGAGGCCCGTGATATTACATGGTACCAACTCTGTACTATACACCAGTAGTATGATATGACGTTGATGTTGTGCAAAAACTCTCGATGACACAGAACATAAGGGAATGGTGTGTGAATATCTACCTACCGCAGTTTGATCCGTAGAAAAAGCCACAGAATATTAAAGGCACTACTAATACCCCTGTATTTCTACAGTCTGTCGTTTTGATGACATAATAATTTCTGATAACATTGAACCGCCAATAAAATTGCCAAAAATACATTTACAGGTACAAGCACATATGACGTTTATGACGATGTTTTTTAATTGTGTTCGTAAAGTTGTGTGTGCTGCATCATGCCATGATAGTCTCTCGTCTCCCCCCCACCCCGCCCATTTCTGCTAAGCGTACATTTACCTGTGCACAACACTATACACCTTCTACCGAGAGTGCTCGAAAGCCGGAATTCAATAGTCTTTTATGTAAAGCATTGAAAAAACATGCAATAGAAACCTATGGTCGATATATTTACTCCTCCGTAGCTACTACACTGTGGTAGAGAAACTAGCTTAGTAAGGGCAGATTATCGTCCCCTTAAACCGATCGGTTGCATACTTATAAAGACTCCAGTACATGAGAAATGTTCGTAAAGACGTTAATTGTTTATCTTTAGAGGGTTAAAACGGTGTAAAATATCCTGTTCAAGAATGTTTAATGTGTATCCTATGTTAAACACGAACGGGAAAAAGTGCAAATAAGACCTACCTGGTATCAATAATTAGTAGCACTTTCTCTTTCGCGTTCTCGTACCTTGAACAGAAGCGGCTACCACACCAGCGCCTTTGTTTCACAATTAACTGGTAAGTATAGTGCGTCAACAGCGGCTCTAATTTAATTATGACCTCAACCCTACCGTGAAACAAGTCTAGTCTTACTCAGGTAAATTTTGTTTGTCACTTCCCGGTGGTGAGTGCTAACCAGGTGACGTCATGAAAAGACTTACAAAGAGCCTCGCGGTACACCGCAGCTCAAACTAGGTCACCGTTTTGTTTGCCATTGTGGGTCGTTTGTCAAGTACCTGCAATTTATTTGATATCAAGTCGATAAAACGGCATCGTAAAATAAAGGGGGTGAGGTGCGATGGAGACGGATTTCGAAAATAAACAAAATGCCCCCCGGGGGGGGGGGGGGG